GAGAGTAACCTGAGCCCAAAAACGAATTCCCATGACTAAGAAGTAAATTTTTATTTTTGTTAGGTCATTGGGATAATAGAGCCACAGCTCACCTAGCTCATTCTGATTAACATACTTATTTAATTCTTGTAATGTCTATCAATTGAGCTATGCACCTATTATAAAACAGATCCAGAAATTCCATTTATGAGGAATAAGAGAATACTCCTAAATATGGAAAAATATATTTACACATGAAGATGCTCCTTGTAAGGTTATTTTAAAACCAGCATTCCCATAATAGAATAGTTAGCTGCTAAAGAAAAACATACCACATGTGCTTAGTAGATATTTATAAAGAAGATGTAATAACGTGGGAAAATGTTTATGACTGCCATCCTCATAGACTTTCTATTCATATAGAATAAGATTGAAGAAAAATCACCAAAAATGTTAAAAATTGGTTTTGTTGGGTAGTGTGAATATAAGCAATTTCTTCTCCTTCTTTCTGCAGCTTAAAGTTTTCCAAATATTTAAAAATAAATGTATATCAATTTTTATAAAGAAAAACAATGCTGCTCTTTCAATTACTCAAGTTTTAAAATTAATAACAAATAGGTTATTTTATTATCTCCTTGGTAAGATTTTTCTTAATCCCGGAAACAGATCTTTCCCTAGTTGCTCCGAAATCCAGGTGGTGGACAATCTTTACATTTTATATTTTTTGCTACTTTTGTTTATATACATGCAGAAAAGGCAAATTTTAAGAAAAGATGTTTGTGAGTTCATCTCATTTAAAAGCACAATAGGCGACCTATTGATTTTTAAAATAGAGAGGCTCTGACCTTGACCAAGGCCTTCCCGCTCTTTGGAGCCCATTGTCCTTCTCTGATCCTTGAGAGACTGAGTCTGGTGATCCCTAAGGCTCTCTTCCAGATCTTCTACTCTGTAATTCCATGTTGAAATGGAGTAAGATGTTCACAATTTGGTATTGTCAGAAGTGTAATTCAACCAGACATTGGAAAACATTTATCTCATTAATCTTTGTGAACAGGTATCTATGGAAACAACTTACATTTGTATTCAAGGGAGATAATCATTTATGAATTTATCCTTATACAATCATCACAAAGGTAAGTTGTGCCCAGGATAGCTTCTTGCAGTATGTTCAACAGGACACAGTTTTACACCATTTTTAGTAGAATCAAGTAGAAATCACTCTGACAAACTGAGATACCACCAGAGATTCAGAAACTGGAGAGTCTAGCTTGAAAATATATCATAGGGATCATGAGAGTCACAGTGCTCAGTAGACACAATTTTAGAAAAGATGAGAAAAAGACACTGAAATGATGGAAGACCCAAGTAATCATGGAAAGCAGAAGAAAACGGATTAGATACAGAGAGCATCATTTTTCATTCAACCTGGGTCAGTTTTATCCAATAATTCTGGAATGACCACCTTGTTACCTAACTAGCTGCTCCTCGTCTCTGGGCTGAGCTTCTACACATAGACAATTAGGGCCCTTGACCAGATAGCATCTAAAATCCCTGCAAGTTCTGATAATATGATTGGGCTAGTGTTTGTTTTTGCTATCATTTGATGTCCTTCAGCACTGATTTATAAGAACAAAATAGAAAACTCAGGTTACGTGCAAGGAGACACTTCCATGTCTTGATAATGTCTGATAAGCAGAACTGGTGTCTTCTAGCTCACTGTTCTTTACTTCTCTCTAGCTTTATTGTTCAGATCTCTCTGGCTACCTGCAACAGAAGCTCAGCATGACCTGGCTCAAATCAAAAGGAGAAGCCTTGGTTCCTATAACCAAGTTGCTGGAAGGGCATAGGTTTAGGTGGCCAAAAGACAATGGATGTAGGGTCTCGAACACTGTTAGGACTCTCCGTGCTCTTTGGGTTTCAGGGTTCAAATCAGGTTCATCATGTTAGTGGAGTCATGGATGTGGGCAGCTCTGGGCTCTCATTCCTGGGGAAGTTAGCATTCTGCCTTAAGTTCATCTTTTATAATTCACAGGTAAGGACACTGGTGGCACAGCTTAGGTCACAATCCTAACACCTGAGCCAATCATCATGCTCAGAGGTGAGAGATATGATGATTTGCCAACCTGGCCACATGTTCAGTCTTTTTAATCAAGAGGATTTGGGTCATACTGGAAGCAATAGAGACGTCCATACTGAGAGGGAAACAGAACAGCAGCTGTATTTGTTTTCTATTGCTGTGTCTCAAGTTGCCACAAACTTAGAGGCTTAAAACAATGCTCACCTATTAGTTCACAGTGCCATAGGTCAGAAGCCTGTGCACAGTGTGGCTGTGTTCTCTACTCAGGATCTCACAAGGCTAAAAAGCGTTGGCAAAGTTGTTGTTTTTTTTTCTCATCGGGAGTTCAGGGTCATCTTCCAAGTTCATGTGGTCATGGCAGCATTCACTTCCTTGAGGTTGTAGGACTGAGGCCCTCATTTCTTTGTTGGCTATCAGCTAGCGGGCTGCTCTCAGCTCCTAAAGGCCCCTAATATTCCTCTTCAAATCCAGCTATGGAGAATCCCCCCCACCCCCTAGTGTCAAATGTATCTCACACTTCAAATCTCTTTCATCAGCAGGAGCCCAGTCCTTTTTAAGGGCTTGGCTGATTAGATCAGCACCTGCTGCTCCCCAGATAATCTTCCCACCTTAAGGTCACTTGATTTGGCACCTTAACTACATCTGCAAAATCTCTTCATGGTACCCAGCTTAGAGTCTGATTAAATAACTGGGAGAATGTGTACACCAGGGAAGAAGAGAGTGGGAATGTTGGAGATCATCTTAGAATTCTGCCTAACTTGCCATATGAACTTAGGAAGTTTGAATCTGAGTTTGATCTTTTGAGATATGTCTCGAAAACATCCAAAGACTAAATCTACCTAAATCTTGAGCAACTAATTCACTTATTAAACTGGTTGCTTGACTCATGTAATCAATATAATGTAATAAAATACATTTTTAAAAGTCATATGATTGCCTTAACTTTAGGAAGATAGAATATGAATTTAAAATAGACCTTACTTAGGTAAAAGCACGTTTTAAGCACTTTCTCCATGTTCCTTTTCAGATGAGGAGTTGTTTGATTCCATAAACTCAATTAGGCCCTTCTGTTATACGTCCTCATGGAACTCTGTTCTATGACTCTTGAGACACTCCTAATTACTTACTCAGCACTATTACCACTATCCTGTATCCTGACAATGCAGAATCTGCATTTCCTGTTCCATGCAGCATGCCTAGTACATGGCATAGAGGATGGCACATAAAATAAATATTCACAGAATAAAAAAGGACAAATGCCAGGCCACACTTTTGTCATTTATGTACTCCCTGTGCTTAGGGCAGTACCAGAACATAGTAGATGTTCAATTTGAAGTGGGAGGAAGTCATGGAAGGAGGGAAGAAGAGAGGAAGGCAGAATACAGTGCTAGGCCCCTTTAAAAGAAAGCAGCTAACTCTGCTTCCTGCTGTGTTGACTCGATTGACCTGTACAAACAGTTCTTAGCATTTTACTTCCAAGAACAATCGTATAAGGTGATTTAATTATTTCCCAGTGGTTGCTGGGACTCTTGAAGCCCATGCAGGACAATGGGTAAAAGGGTCCCCATATCAAAATTGGCATTGGGTATACCCAGAGGGTGTTTATCTGGCCGGGCTCCATGACACTGGTCACCCGAGGCTGTTCTCTTTGTTTGTTCTATCTTGAACACAGTCACATGCCCACTTCAGGTCTCTGTACAGGCAAAATGTGTCTGGAGTCAACTACTTAGCAGAGCAAATACACTCATCCCCAGGCCTGTATTAGACTTTAACTGCAGACAGGCCGAACTCACAGAACCTGTACTGCCTATACAAAAGGAGACCCTTACCACGTCTGGGGGGGAAGTCAATATCACTTATAATATGTTAACTATCTCACTAACCCTGGAGGTGATCTGGAGATGGAGAAGGGCTCAAGTGATTAAATATCTCTGAAAAAAGACATAATCTGGGTCCAAAATGTCAGTAATAATGTACCAACAGACCATCTTCTTAGAAGGAAATTTGGGAAATACCTTCCAGGGAGGTTGTCCATGACATAGTGTTGGTCTTCCCTGCCAGCCCCTCCCCAGCTTCCTCCTTCCCCTACCCTGGCCTCACACACAGCTGCAACTCTCACTTCTCTTTTAAACTATAAGCGAAAGTCTGATGATGGTCGCACACACGTCCTCCTTCCTAAGTGCTGCATTATGTCCTGCCTTTTTTTTTTTTTTTTTTTTTTTTTTTGCTCTGATGCATCACTAGTTGCAGGACGAAGCTATTCACAGACTCTGGATCAAGGTCATGGGGGGAGACCATTGGGAAGAACATGATTTTTAAAGCTAGTTTTACCTCAACACTGCTCAATCCCAGACCACTCTTCCCCAGTCACTGGCTTACTGCTATCGGCTGAATGTTTATGTCCTCTGAAAAATCGTATGTTGAGGCCCTAACTCCCAGTGTAATGGTATCTAGAAGTAAAGCCTTTGGGAGTATTAGGTTTAGATGAGGTCGTGAGGGTGAGAATTCTCATGAGAGAAACAGTTCCCTTATAAGAAGAGGAAAATAGGCCGGGCACGGTGGTTCACGTCTGTAATCCCAGCACTTTGGGAAGCTGAGGTGGGCAGATCACCTGAGGTCAGGAGTTTGAGACCAGCCTGGCCAACATGGTGAAACCCTGTCTCTACTAAAAATACAAAAATTAGCTGGGCTTGGAGGTGGGTGCCTGTAGTCCCAGCTACTGGGGAGGCTGAGGCAGGAGAATTGCTTGAATCGGGAGGCAGAGGTTGCAGTGAGCCAAGATCATGCCACTGCACTCCAGCATGGGTAAGAGTGAGACTCTGTCTCAAAAAAATAAGTACATAAAAAATAAAAAGAGGAAAATAGATCTTCTCTCTCTCTCTCTCTCTCTCTCTCTCTCTCTCTCTCTCTCATCAGTGCACTCACCCTGTAAGTGGCCACTTACAGGTACAAGCCAGGAAGAGGGTCCTCACCAGGAAATGTAATCCACTGGCACTTTGACCCTGGACTTTCGGCCTCCAGAACTGTGAGAAATAAATTGTTATTTAAGCCACCTGGTCTGTGGTATTTTGTTACAGCAGCCTGAGCCGACTAAGACACTTACTGCAATTAATTATTTATATGATGACAGATTCCCACATTTCTATTGCAGCTCTCTCAGAATTCATCTTATTTGGTTTGACCCCTCACGGTGCCTAACCACCGGTACTTATGTGTATAAATCGTTGCTAAATGTTTCTCAAACTTTCACTTTTGTCCTAAGGAGCTTGGTCTTGATCACTCATGCAGTGGGAGCTGCTGGGAGTTTCTGAATGTAAAGTGGTATTAGCTGTGTTTTCTCAAGCAAATGACTTACCTTTGGAGCCTCAGGTTTCTGGTAAGAGAAATTAGGTTGCACAAGGGTAGAAAGACGAGAAAGTTTTTTGAACAGCGTAACTCATTGCGTAAATGTAAAATATCCTTAAGAGCTCACATTTGCCCCTTGCATTCCTCAAAATGGCAGAGCATCTGCTAAAAGACCAATCTGTGAAGCACTAACTTGACTTCTGCTTATTTAAGCTGGACTAACTTTGTGACTAATTCTCTCTCTGTGCTGTGGCTGCCTAAGCAGGGAAAATATCCAAATGTGGAGAGGTTGAACTCCCTTATTATGGGGAAAATATCCCAGCATGCCTTTCCACTTTACTTCTAGGGCAAAAGTGAGGAAGATTCCTTTCTAAATAGCAAAAATTCACTTTGCTATACAAGAACTACTGAGGGGATAAAACCTTGACTTCAAACTTGTCAAATATGTTTCACAGCTCCAAAGGCTAAACACACACAGAGACACGTACGCAGACACACACACAGACACACGCACACATAGTCATGCCAATTGCCGCCATTTTATCCTTAGAATGACTTAGTTATAAAGACCACAATACACTAAACACTTCCTATAAAATGTCCTAGCCAGGGACTATGTGATAAAGATTTCCATATATGGGCGTGTGACTAAAGGCTGAGAGAAAATATGGCAGAGACTGCTGGCTACAAATCTTGGATAATTCCCTGAGAAGGAAAAGGAAAAAAAATGAAGGATAACAAACCTGCCGCATGCAGGAAATGCCTGGCTAACATAACGGCCGAGCATATTCGTGTGGGAAAATGCACAGGCTCACAAGCACCGGCTTTCAGGGGAAAGATGTCTTTAAAATGCTCTCTCCCCATTTTTACACTTTCAGATTCCTAAGAGCTTCTGCGGGGACTTCTGAAAACGACGTTGGCACTTTAGGCCAGGACTTTTTGAACAGTTTTTTTTCAAGGGCTTAGCTCCATGTTCTTTGCAAACTGCTAAATCCTTCAACCTCTAAATTTTGTTTCAAAGTCATAAATTTCTCTCCAGGCTTCTTGGTTTTCAGAAACCAGCACAGCATGTTTCATTTGTGAACAACTGGAAGAAAGCAATTTTACTGCCAAACTTTAAAAAAAATGGCAAGTTTCATTGGCTTTTAATTTTACATAAAGGTACACCCTGCCTGCCAGATGTGGGTAAGTGCAATAGAATTAAAGTTGTTTAATCCTCAGCATTGCACAGGTTTTCTAGTCTAAAAATATCTCACCAGGCTAAAACACTGGTCTGTATGAACATCATATAAATTAGAAGAGCTGAACGTAACAGTCCTTGGTTAGCTTAGAAATTCAGTGACAGAAGCACATTTGGGGTGTTATCTACTTGCAAGTCTACTGGTCCTCACTCCAAGTTCCTTTCTGCTATCTTCAGCCCCTACACACAGTCAGGGACATTGATGTTGTGGGGTCAGGTGGGCCACCTAGATTACAGGACAGTCCTGCCTTTACATAGGTGTGTGTTTTGGGGCAAGTCACTCGTCTTCACTGAGCCTCAGGTCCTCACCTGAAAGGTAAGGATAACAGGAAGCCTCTCTGAAAGATGGGTCAAGTTGAAATAATATGACAAGTGTAAACATTGATCACCATGTCTGGCACTTCTTAAGCTCTCATTAAATAACACCTGTTCTTATTGGGTTCATCCATCTCTGCTTGAGCGCTACTATAGAGGACAAATTGATCAGTGGGCACCACTGAGCTTTTGGTATTTCTGATACAAACCAATTCTGTAAGGGTCATTACATTGAAAATGTTAAAGCCAAAATAGATTTCTTCTGAATAACTTAATATGTACATTCTGAATAACTTTGAAATCACCCACAGTCTCAGTAATTGGCTGCATATTATTTTTAATATATCAGTTGGTAGCCTGCAACAATCCTCCTTGACAAGTCCTAGGTTGAGTGTCAGAATCTCCCCCAGGGTAGGATGTCCCTGGAAACAGCTCATGGCTGTGTGTGTGTGTGTGCATGTGACAGAGAGAGAGAGAGAGAGAGAGTTTTCAGACCAATGCTGCTCTACTATGGCACTTCCTCTTTATGGTGACTGAATGATATGGTTTGACTGTGTCCCCATCCAAATCTCAGCTTGAAATGTAATAATCCCCACGTGTCAATGATGGGGCCAGGTGGAGATAATTGAATCATGGGTTGATTTTCCTCATACTGTTCTCCTGGTAGTGAATAAGTCTCATGAGATCTGATGGTTTTGTAAATGGGAGTTCCCCTGAACAAGCCGTCTTGTCTGCCACTATGTAAGATGTGACTTTGCTTCTCCTTTGCCTTCCACCATGATTGTGAGGCCTCCCCAGCATGTTGAACTGTGAGTCCATTAAACCTCTTTTTAGAATAATACCCAGTCTCAGGTATGTCTTTATTAGCAGTGTGAGAACAGACTAATACACTGAGTTCAAATCCTCTGTTCCTTAGGTACTTAGCCTTTCTGTGCCTCAATTTCTCCATCTGTAAAATGACTCTGAGCAACAGAATGCCTACTTCCTGATGGCATTAGGAAGGGAGATCTGTTTATGCTATGCCCAAAAGCAGTATGGCACAGTCGAGAAAACAAGAGTTTTGGACTGGGCAGGGGCCTGGCTTCAAATCTCAGCCCATCCTTTTTCCAGCTGTGACCGTGGCCATGGACTTTATGTCTCTTGGCCTATTTTCTCATTTGTAACAGAGTGGCAGACCCTGATGCTGCTTACACCATATCTGTTGCTCATTCTTCTTTACCAATAAAACTCTGATTTTGTTTGGAGCTTAACTATGCCCAGATAAAACATTCATCTTACCAGTTGCCCATTTGATATAGTTCTGGCCAATGACATGTAAGTAGAAATCACTGGGTACAGTGGATGGGAAGCTTGTTTCTTGAAAGAGCAGGCCGGGCTGGCATAAACTTCTCCCTTTGCCTTTTTTCCTTCTTCCCCCTACCCCGGAACCTGGACATGATTCCTGGAGGGGAGGCAGCCATTCCATCAACATGAGGTGGAAAACATGAAGAGGAAGGCCTACACACTAAGGATAGCAGAGCAGAAAGATGGAAAAGGCCTGATCCCTGACGACTCCCAGAGCTCCTGGGAAAGCTTGGGCAGCCTGCCTCCAGATTTCGTATTTTTAGAGATGAGTCTTTGTTGTCAATCTCTGTGTTACTAGCAGTGAAACTCATTCAGAACAAACACACGTGGGAACTAAAATGATACTTACTTCCTAGGGTCCTCGTGAGAGTCAGAGAAGGTTAGGTATGTGAAGCATGTACCACAATTCCCAACACACAGTTGACTTCCAATAAATGTGTATTCCCTTCCTCCCTTCCCCATCTTCACGTTATGGATTCTCCCTGCTACCGGTAAATATCAGGGGTGTTGAGGGCCAGTTCAGATATCTTCCTTTTAACGCATGTATTCTCCCTGCTACCGGTAAATATCAGGGGTGTTGAGGGCCAGTTCAGATATCTTCCTTTTAACGCATGTATTCCTGCCGGTAAATATCATCAGGGGTGTTGAGGGCCAGTTCAGATATCTTCCTTTTAACGCATGTTAATCTCTAAGTGTGGATTGCCCAGCTAGAAGTGACCCCACCGGCTGATATGACTTCCCAAAGCAAATACATACATAGACTGTCTTCTTAGAGCAGAGTTGCAGGAGAAAAGGAGCTAATGGCCACGTGGGGCTCTGCACTAGTACAAAGCATTCAAGTTTTATGAAAAATTCTGAGCCCCACATTTCAGGACAGACCTCCGTACTTAAAGATCTGAAAACCACTGTCATATTAGCTACTTTTGTGTGTTTAGCTTAGAAAAGAGAAGATTTAGGGAAACATGGAAACTTTCTTCAACTCTAACTTGTGTCCTGGGGAGATCTGGTCAACTATTAGCCGTGTGGACTTAGCAGCTTCTGAAAAACCTTCCAGTTATATTTGAGATGAACTATGGGTCACAGGCTTTGAAAGGATGACGAATATATATTCTCAGTAAATATTTAGTGAATTGATTAACTAAGTAAAGGCCTACATATTTAGCCCCAATGTTTCTAGGTTAAAATGCAGCTGGCGTCCTCAATATCGAACTTATTGGTAAATACATGGCCTTGTGTGAAATGGGGTCACCTGCCTTTGAGGTCATCTGAAATCCAGCTTTACTTTTCTCTACCTGATGAGCTTCTGTTTTGGAAATGTACCGAGAAGACCACCTTGAAGAGGCAAGGCCTACAGCCTACCCCAGCCCAAAGCCAAAAGCAGTGGCTATAAAACTGGAATTGCTAAGGCCAGAGGGACTGGGTTTATGCACAAGTCATTTTTATGAACATCTTGTTTAGTTCAAGTGAGTTAGCATCACACACACTTGGCATCTCCTCCAAGATGTCTACTTAGTTGGTTAGAAGCACATGAAATGGAGCCTGAGCTCTCAGCAATGGCATGTTGACTGTACTCAAAGTTATTAAATCTTGAACATGTGGAAAAGAAAAAGTCATAATGCTACCAGTGGAGAGGAGAAAGTGCACATGAAATCTGTGAATGTGAAGACAGCAAGTTGGGAAATGAAGCAAAAGGGAATTTTTCATTACTTGTATCAGGTTTTATGTTATAGTGAAAGCTATCTGGCTACTACAGTTGGTTTTATGTAGACCTCATCTGTAACTACCTAAGCACTCCACTGGGCTAAAATTTAATCAAATATCTTGGTTTCTAGTTAGTAGATCTGTGGCAAGCATCAGTGATTTAAAAAAAAAAAAAAACACCTGAAGTATTCCCACCTTAGACTTAATAAATGTTTCCCTCTCAAATTCAGGTTGAAACAGAAGAAATTTTCTGATGGAGGCAAGGGAATTAGTTCTCTTACTTTTTATTTTTTCAACTTACTTACACAACACATTCATTTTATTGAGGACTCCTGGCATTGAATTTGAAGTTTCAAAGCTTTGGAACTCATTTTTGAGGTGATATTGGAAAAAAAAAGCATCACATCTTTTTAATGAATTTTTTTCCACTATCAATAAAAGTCAGCTGAACCGTTTCCCATCATTCTTCCCTCCTAAGCCTTGCTCCAACTTTACCTTTCTGTTCAAATCTGTCAAATTTCCAGTGAAATCCTCCCCTCCCCAGAATATGAGAAACTTTGACTAATGAAATTAAGGTACCTAACTCTGGCAATGAGGGAGAGGAGCAGGTTCATCTGGATATTTTCCTTAGGATTTATTTGTATCATCTATAAAGTCCTGTATTTATATGTGTTAATTCTTTTTTTAATCCTATAAGAATGAATGGTGCACAGGCCCTTTTGGGAAGGCAGGAGGAGGTTGTGTAAGAATTAATTAGTTTCTCAAATCTACAGCTGAAGCCCTCTGCCAGCCTGTCAGGGCCTGTAAACTAAACTCTTGCATACTTCAAGAACTGCAGTGGAGAATCCAGATGAGGGAGGAGCTAGGTTTGTCAGCCAGTATCTGGAATCTCGTGTGTTCAGCTCTGAGTGCCACGTCTTAACCCAGACACCGACAGCCCAGAGAACGTTGAGAAATGCTGGGAGGGCTGAAATCTATGCCGGCTGAAGTTTGCTCCAGGTGCTGCTGGTGTGCGGGGTGAGGCGAGGCCCGCACAGGACGCAGCACAGTAGCCTCTGATGCTGAAGCCCTGTCCTGGGAGAGAAGGGGCCGTGTAGCACCTAAGAGCAGCTTGGATCAGGGTGGAAGAAACACTCAGCGAAGCTGATCTCGGATCAAGATGAAGAAACGCTTTCTGACTCGCAGAATTGCCCCAAATGGAGTGAACTGCTCCACGAGAAGGTAATCCTTGTAATCAATAGCTGGCGTCTTACGTCTCTTTAAGGTTTATAAAACACTTTCATATGTATCATCTCAGTGGAGAGGCATTTCCCTCTCTTACTGATGAGAAAACAGGATTCTGGATTCTGTGAGATTCATGGCCTTTCCAAAGTCACATAATCATCCTAGAGTCTTAGTGTTGGAAGGGACAAAAGATGTCATCCAGACAAAGAAGTGAGTGAAGATCTGAGATTGGAATCAGCTCCCCCAGTCTCCT